TTTCAAGCTTGCCATGTGTGGATATACACTCAGAGTAACATCACAAGCATCATATGTTTAACCATTCAAACCTAACATAAGTTTAAGTATGCTCAGCAACAAATTTTGTTTTTAAACTTCTTTTCAATGTTAAAATAATTTACTCAATACAAGTCCTAGGGCCCTGGCTTTGGGGCAATAGGCTTTTTTTTCTTCAGTGTTGGGGCAGAGGAAGGGGCCCAGTGGAGCAAATGCCCCACCAGTCCATGGTATTAAAAAATGCCTTGAGCGAAGGCCTTTGTTGGGAGTTAGTCGAAGGCGACGAATGGCCTTCACTCAAAACGTTGAGTTTCTCCTTATATTTTTCAAGTAGTTGCATTCCTGCTAACGAAAGCTTTGTTCATCTGACTTTCCCTAGATATTGCTTTTTACCAAATAAATGGCATCTAGTATTGCATTGCACAATTGATGATGTTAATACACCAAATACTCATCAGAAATGTGACTGTTTACATAAACAAAATCCTGTACAGATATGGTATGCTTTAAAAATAAATGTTTTCAGTATTGTTCTGGAGGTTAGCACTTGGCATGTGGGCTGTGATTGTAAAAGTGCTGCACTTGGGATTGCACACTATATAATAGTTGCATTTTTTGCAATGATTTTCAGAATTTTTTCCCCTCTCAAAAATCTGTCCGGGAAACTTATAGTTTTGTTGCTATTTTTGTTTTTAGGTGTTAGCTGAACTTCAAATAATTATAATCAAGTGAAGTCTGTAAGTATTATTAAGCAATTATTGGATGAGGCTGAGCATGATATCAAGAATTATTCAGACCGAGGTCAATGTTATCTGCCGAAGCGAAGCTGAGGCGGATAACATAGACCGTGGTCTGAATAATTCTTGATATCATGCGAAAGCAGAATCCAATAATTGTTTTATTATACATTTAAAGACATGAGAAACGTATAAAACGCTTCCTGTTCATGAGGTAGGAAAAGTACAATTTGAATATCAAACACCTTGCACAAAGTCAAAGGTCAGCTAAATATTCTATTTCTACTTCTATTTATCCCTTTGTGGCTTTTTTCGTGCTTTCACTATCCTTATCTGCCAATAATTGGGAGAGTTCACTTTCATTCAGCGAAGCAAACTGCTGTAGGCCATTGTTTGTTTGTTTTTTTTCGCGCGCTTATAGGTTCAAGCCTTTGCCCCCGCAAGGGCTTGGGCACGAGAGAGTCCAATAATTTTTTTTTTGGATGCTAGTTCGATCCAAAAAAACAATTATTGGACGCTGATGACGTCATCGGCGGAAAATACGTAATAAATGCCGAATACTGAATATTAGCCGGTGCTTTCTGACCAATTAGAAACGAGAATACATATTAAATGTATAATAATATAAATTATGTTCTATCACTTCTACAGTATGTAGTTAAATGTGCATTGTCTTGTGTTAAGTCAGATGTAGGCTAGCCAGCTGTTGAGCTGTAACCGTAAGTTCAAGTATATATAGGTGATCGAGTGTGTGGGTTGTGATAAGGTGGACTTCAATGATCTGGTTTCTTGCACTTCACTTGGTGGAATTAATATTAGAATGATGTTGTAGTAGGGTTTGTAATCCAAGTGAGTATACATACATTTTTAAGACCTGACCAGGAACGACTGCGAAAAATAGAATCGTATATGTCGTTGTTTATATAATCACATCTTGTACAACGTTCAACGGGATTAATATTAGCGCACGGGGTCTGTTTTGTATCGTGTAATGTCATATTTAAACACGACATATCAGTTTGCTCAAGCATTGTATTAGAAAAATAGTAATTAACGGTATAGCGCGCGACAATTGGACATCGAAGAAATGCCACATTTAAACGCACGAGACAATTGCAATATATATTCAGTCGAGTATCTCGTTGCTTACGTAATGTTTGTAAACGTCATTGAAATTGGATCATGTTTGCACAGTCTGTGAAATATATTTGTCGAATGACATGTGTAGTTATTATATAAGAGTGTGTAGTATATTTGTATCATATTTTTTGAATGCGCGCTGGTATACGTAGAATGTGTAAGTCAATTAAGGCAAATAGGAAGCCAAGCTCGGTTTACACAAGTGTGAGTGTATTATTAGCGCACGAAGTCGATGTATTTGTCGATTATTGAAAGCAAGTTGAATGTTATTATCAATAAATACGGGATCGAATACCTCGTTGACTGTTTAATCATCACTAAATAAAGAATATGCATGTCTATGTTTTTCAACTCCGCCGGAAAATATCGTCCTTAGATCTTTGCATGGACTACCTTTGAAATTTTTTCTTCACGAAAATTGTATACGCAACCTGTAAACCTGAGTATTGTTGTACGCTGTCCTTGAATAAGAACTCTTCTTGTGTTAAGTATACTGTTTTCGTACTGTCTGTATTTCGTCCTGTGAAACATTTTCTTCCGTATACATATAAGACCGTGCGTGCAAATTATTTTTGACACATTAATACTTTGTAACTAAACTTCTTAGATCTGTTTATGCTTATTGAAAAATGCACATAACAGTTGTTTATGTATTTTTGTCATATCTGTATACTTGTCATGTTTTGTATGTGATTAAATATGCGTAAAATATTTTAACTGTGTCCAATTTACTTAATACTTTCTTTCATTAAATTCAGAATTTGACAATAGCGATTGGCAAACTATGCAGGCTACCCACATGTACGTAGCGCGTTCCTATTTTTATGATTCATATTTATATAGCTATATAATTAGTATTTTTGCACAAGTGAATATAACAAATTTTACAACCTAATTGGTCAAACTTGACGTATTAAGATCTTCGTCTATATTCACATACAATGGCGGCTCGCCATTTTGTGGAAGTTTACTGCTAAACTAAGAGAAATTAAAATAAGTTCAGTACAAAAAACACAATAATACTAAAACAATTACTTGCTTCAGGCTCGGTGATTATCGGGGAATGTTCACCTCGACTTCGTCTTGGCCGTGAATATTCCCCGATAATCACCTCGCCTTCGGCGAATAATTGTTAAATATTTATATATAGGACCTCTCTGATAATCACTTTACGTGAGGGAGTTTCCTATTAAAATGTTGTGATAATAATAATGATATATTAGAAAGCTGAATTATGTTATTTGTTCGTGTGATATCTCAGGATATGTAATGATTAATGAGCAATGACACTGCAAATGTCATTCCTGTCGTTGGTAAATCCTTGTTGCTTGTGGAGAAGTTTTTAACTTTTTATTATAACGTCAACTACGTATCAAGGTTCACTGTTAAACACAGCACTTTTTCGTGATATCTGCCATATATTTTAATTAAATACAAACATATTCAAAATACAGTGTCGGGTTATTTAAATGCACGAATTTCGACAATCATGCACCTGTCATTTCCAAGCAGGGTTTCAACGTACAAGTCATGACTCCTAAAGGCGATAGTTCTTTGTTAAGATATTTCGTGCATTATTCCACGATCATCATACTTAAATTTATTTGTTCTTATTAAGCAAAATAAAATAATTAAAATACTGATATTCTAAATTTTTTAGTATTGCCAAAGCAATTGAAAACATTACAATTAAAAATTAATCACTCTGACAATACTCAACAAATATAAATTACTCGTCTGCCAATAGAAACACTTTATTATTTTCCGCCCACGATAATATGAAATATTTCAATGATACCGCGGACGATCATCTGTGTCTCAAAGCCATATGAGAACAGTGTTCAAAACTGTAAAAACCGTCGCGTCCTAGCTACTTCCTGTGAACATTTAAACTTGAATTCTCATTTTATTTGGGAGACTAAAGAAACTTTGAAATATGGCAAATTGAATCTATGAGTGAGAATGCGCTGTGGTTGGATCTTTTATACATGCTTTTATGTTTGGTTATGTATAGAACTTTTTGTCACGGGAGCCAAAGCCGAATTCTGCTTTGATGGTAACAACGAAGGTAGGTCTATTTCACGAATTGCTACAGAACGTTATTGAATCAATTACACTTTGAAAAAGTATTGTTGAGTTCCTAATCATTTACAAATACTATACAAAGTTTTTCAAAGCGAATGCGTTTGACACAGGATCAATTATACGGAAAGTTATCAAGATTTGTGCGATTCGGCGTTTCGCTTTCAGAGACGACCTATGAAAAAACGGAACAAATTCAAGTACTACTAATTATAGGTAAGAATTTCACCGTGACCAAGCGGAAATAAACGAATTTTGTTATACGGTTCCGAATGTGAACATAGTCTCGATCAGATTATGAATATATTACTTGAAATTCACTTATCTTTGAAACTGTGCTTTCCACTCTTAACTTCGCAGTATCCGATAAATGCGCTATTATTGTGGGGGAAAGTAATTTATTCTGGTATGCCTACTATTAATAATGGATATTATAACGGCACGTTGGAAAAATCTTACATCATGGCCTGACGCATGTAGCTAACTTGAACCGAGAATTATTCCGAATAGGAAATAAAGGACGCTGCATATAACGGCATGTTTAATTTTATCAGGGAACAGATGTTGACCCTACACAAAAAGAAAATATTCTAATGTTTAAATAAAACAAGTAGTATTCAAAGAATCCTTAGCTGTTTTGTGAATGGTAAATCAATTTTTTGGACAAAACATGTGTTCGATAATCGGACACTGGACATTCATAGACTGAAAAATGTGTTGTTCTATTATTATAATATAGATAAATATTAGTTAAAATACGATTTATAGAAAGATTTTCCTCGTGTTCGACATACTTTGGGGAAGTGTCTCTTTATTCTGCAGTGGTTACAAATAGCAGACTTCCCTGGGCACGGTTGATTGTCGTGTGGATTTTCGAAACCGCAGTAATAACACTTTTTCTCAGTGGGCGTTGCCATAACCGTTGCATTTATATTTTCCCTTGTTTGGAATTGTTGTTCGATCCCAACGGCTTGAGCTGAACTAGTTTCGTATTTTCGTCCATCGATTAACATGTTTGCCAAACTATATTTTGGGTCTTGTAGTGCTTTCTTTCGTAATCTTGAATAAGTGCATGCCGTTCGTAACAATCCGCATCTTCATTTCAAAATCTATGTTTGTAAATTCGCAGTATTTTGTCAAGCCTCGTAAACGCGTATGAAATTCGTCGATTGATTCTTCTTGGCCTTGCGTCGCTTGTCTAAAAACATAGGTGCGATATATCACGTTTTCCTCTGGTTCAAAATACTCCGTCAACGCTTTCACTGCTGACTTAGAATCTTTGGATTCGCCCTCTTCTAGAGGCTTGGAAAATTCGTGTACTTCGGGCCCCGCCTGATACCATAATAAAGCTCGCTTTCTCGCATCGTCTTTAATATCTGCTGCAAGTAAATATGTATTGAATCTCTCCTGCCATCGTGTCCATCTCGCAATTGTAGGATCACTCCTTGGTTCAAAAGCAGGCATAGGCTGTGTGTTTTGTGCCCCATTCTAGTTTTCTGTTATATTTATCGCGCTGTTTATTTTTACATCCTCGTCGCCATTGTATAATAGACTGAATGATGATTTATTACAAATGTCAATCAACGATTGTTACATACTTAGAAGTTAATTATTAACTTATAGCATCCTACATATACTACATGTGTGTATAACTACACATCTTTTGCAATATGGAAACCAAGGTGTGTAATTATATATACACACCTTGTATACACAATTATATATTGCATTACACACCTTGTACTTATTAAAGGTGTGTTATTTTACACACCTTTTACGCAAAGCACACCTTTGCTGAGTACACACCTTTCCCACTTTTACATATCTTTTGGATATACACACCTTTCTCAATTTTACACCGAAGAGTTATCGCGGTTTGAAAATGAGCTATTTTTGCTATTATCGAATATAGCAAAAATAGCTCATTTTCAAATCGCGATAACTCCTCGGTTTTATGGAGTAATTTCATGTTTTAAAGTGTCAATATAAATAGTAAACATTCCTGAATTCACTGATGTGATTTTACTTTAGTTTTCTTGTAAAAAGTACAATTTACTCCAGAATATTTCAATGCCACTTTTCCAACACCCAATACATGCATAAATACAATGGGAGTTTAACATAAGTAAAATGCGATATATATACAAAATTTTTCAAAACTTCTTTAATTAAATAACTAAACAAAAGGTTATCAAAACATACCTTTGAGAAAACGAGATCTTCACGGCAAAAATCGCAATATATTTCAACAGTTTTTAAAACGAACAAATAGTTGCGAATAAATACAAATTGCTGTGAATAAATAGTTGAGAATAAATAGCTTGAATAATAATCAGCCGCACTAATTCGCGCATTGCATTTTGGGAAGACCCTCATTCCTCCTCTGCCATATATCGAAGTGTGATGTTTGGATTTGAATTTTTGACTTGGAAAGTGAGTCTTGTTTGACGATTTTTTGTATCATTTTATGTTTATATCAAGCCTCGTTTGTTCGGTGAGCTAAAATGGATAGTATTTTCGAAACAAAGTCAATATTTGGTGAATATTTTTATATTTTGTAACGATTTATTTACACTTTAATTGATTATGATAGACTTGATTTTGATCGCACATTGCAGAGTGACACAATATAAAATATATTTAATACCGACATAATCCTTCGTATTACAGACGATACTTTTAATAATAGTTTTCTAAATGGTAGTATATTGTTATTGCGTTTTAGACCAAAGCTCTGAACAGAGAATTTTGCCTATGTTAAGCATGGTATTCGGACTACTTTTGTATGAAGATTCAAGGCAAGGTATGCGTCTATACAGTATAGATTGAATTTCTGCCTTGTATTAAAATCATAGGCTGTATATATCAATGAAAATGTTATGCTAATTCTTTGCCAGTAACATTATAATGGTGCTAACTAAGGTTATATTTATAAATAAAAAAATGAGCACAAGAAATGCAAAAACTTACTGATTTATATTAATTAAGCAAATTATCTGCCAATGGCAATGTTAGCCAAAATTTTAACCATTACAGCATTACTGGGCCTCTGTAGCTCAGTTGGTTAGAGCGCTGCACCGGAATCGCAGGGCCGTAGGTTCAATTCCTACCAGAGGACCTTGCGCTGCATATTTGCAAATATCTTATAAGCCTTACAAAATGATAGTTCTTTCTTCGTCGGGTTTCGTTTTTCTTCAATATAAACGAAGTTTTTTTATGTTTTTGAAACAAAAATATTTAGTTATAGATATAAAACTGTAAATTGCCTAAATAATCGTCAAACACTATGGTTCCAAAAGCGTTGCCTCAAGCTCAAGCAACGTAGGAAAATATGAAAAGTAGTTGTGTAAGTTTAAAAAGATTATTGCACATAATTTATATTATAAAAGAGTTGAAATATTTATGGAACATACCTATTGTGTTTGACTTTGTCTTGATCTTTCGTTTGCCTTGCACAACAACGTTGAACATTTATTTTTAAACGATGATTTCTGTATATATTCTGTTCAGAACTGTTGCTTTTCGTAAAAAAGCCCACTAGAATGGGTTTTTAGACACTTTTTCACTTTATAAATCTTTTTTTCCATTTTAAGTCTCGATATAAAAATTTTTGCACACTTTGCAGTGGAAAAAACAATTCGCACTCCCTGCAACCGCGCGAAATTGACCGCCTCAGGAGTCTTGGTCCAACCAAAATGCCCTTATAAATCCGCCATTTTGTGGAGACAATTTATTCACTGAGAAAAGGTAGGAGTACGCATTCTATATCTATTATATCTGTGAAAATAACACACCTTTTTGCTTGCTACACAGCTTGCAAATACACACCTTGGAAGGTGTGCAAAATTACACACATTTGTTCAGATTGGTCTCAGATCACAGATCTAATTGGAATAAAAAATAAATAGAAGATGCAACGTATCTGAGTGTACAATTCACAAATTTAATAATAGCTAAAATTATTAAATATTTACAATACATAAACTAGGACTACACAATCATGCAAACATCTATACAAATTAAGATAACAATTGTTATTAACCTCTGCCAACAAAACAACTCTGATTGACATGGTCCACATAAAATTCCATCACAAAGAGTGGATAGAAGACTCGAAAACATAATGGCAGGCAATAACATACGCTGAGTATCTGATAGTTCATTATTGGTTCACATGATCTTTCATCCCTCACAACATCAACTGGAATTCTATGATCTGGAACCAAGACGTTTTTCTCGTTTGTGTTGATGGTTAATCAATATTAAAACAAAATTTGAAACATGAAACGAATATTGTTATAAGGATTTGGGGCATCTCACTCGATAGAACTAAGTGTTGAAGTTTTTTATAGATGAAATTTCGAGAACCAGGCAAGCCATGCGAGCTAAAGATTCTAGTTGTCGAGCCCTAGCTGCAAGGTCATGGGTCACAACTGCTCCTGGATAAACATATTCAAAATTTCCATCTACAAATGTACAGTTTAGAGCGCTGCACTCAGAGCCTACAGTTGCATTCTTTTGCAACTGCTCCTGGTTTACGTTAGGTCTAACAAATGTATAACATGTAGACTCAAAATATCCATCTACAAAAACCTTCAATTAATTAATAATTGATTATTACACGAATATGTTTAAAAGAACGAAAATTTGGATAAACGATCTCCGAAGGAGTGAGATCTTATACTGTCAACAATTCCGGTGAGATTCTTTCATTTCTTGATCATTTTGCTATATTGTTTTGTGAAATTTCGTACCTTAGACAACGGATGCATATAAGACTATTGCTAACTGACACTAAAAACATGTTTGGGATGCGTACAAGTGGTAGCCTACAGCTAGAGTTTTTATACACATACAAAGGCAATTTTATACTACAGAGTTTGATTGTTCTATTAATAAGACCCCACAGTCTAAAACTGAATCTTGCAGTACTTTTAATTAAATGATTATTTTAGCTTATTATAATGTCAAGTGCTATTTGTATGCGTTTTTAAAATTTGGGTCTCTGAAATAGCATTTCCTGCATTCTGAGAACAATTTAAAAAATCTTAGTTTCTCAAAACAAGGTTTTAATGGTGATATTTGTAATAAATTGCATGCTAAGCATTCAAACCTAACATAAGTTTAAACAGTAATAATTTTTCTCTGTTGGTGTAATGTACTCAGGTGAATATAATGCTTGTGATGTTACTCTGAGTCTATATCCACACCGGGAAAGCTTGAAAAATATGTCTGACCACGGTGGGAATCAAACCTAAGACCTTTGGAACACTAGCCCAATGCTCTGTTAACTGAGCTACGCGGTTAGATCAGTCCGAGTATGTGATATTTCGGAACAGAATCTAGTTCCTTCGATATCAATGTAATCTAATAATCAGTAATGATTTTTCTGTGTTGGTGTAATATACTCACGGTACGTGAATATGATGCTTGTGGTGTTACACTGAGTGTATATCCACACTGGGCAAGCTTGAAAAATATGCCTGACCACGGTGGGATTCGAACCTAAGACGTTTGGAACACTAGCCCAATGCTCTACCAACTGAGATACGCGGTCAGATTGGTCCGTGTATGTGATTCCCACCGTGTCTGGCATATTTTTCAAGC